ATTTACCTAACCTTCGGTATGAAAAAATAAGTTTTGAGGTGACATAATCGACCCTCACAAGTGAACGATCGGTCGGCAGTTTCAAGACAACGTGGAGAAGAAAGCGTTCATTAACCCGGAAGACAAATTATGGAAGGTGTAATTCAGGAATTCAGTAACTTAACTCTTTTCACTATCTCTACTCGATCCATTCAACTATTCTTTGGCCAAATATGCGTGCACCCTCTTTCAATTGCATTCTCGTATTTCTTCTGCTTTGTTGTTGGTTCTATTACCATACAGTATAAAGAGCTGCTCGATTTATTTAGTGTATTTTTGCAATTTTCGCTTTCGTCAAAATATTTCCACTAGTAGGCAAAAATCGCGCTCCTTTGACCAAGATTTGAGGACCTGAAAATGCACTTAGCAGAGTTTCTTGCCCTATCAAGGAGTGAATTTTGTTAAAGCACGGTTAAATTTAATTAAATGTTAGATAACTGCTATTCAGCTTACCGACTGCAATGAAGTATTTGCTTTTGTAAGTAAATTGTCATTCCCTTTATAAGGACATGTTAAGCCTGTTTAAAGCAATAGAATGTAACACTTAATTTAATCTAACAAAAGTTGAAAAAATTATTAATAAACAATCAGGTAAAAGGAGCAATGCGTCTTGAATCTGAAGCACCACTTCCCAAAATTTTGCACTGGTTTTTGAAAATTTCACATTGATAGACTATAGCTGATAATATAAATATGCAATTCTAAAACATGCAAAGCCAAATTTAGGGATTTCGACTTTTTAAATGTGGAACAAACAATAGACGGTAAGTGAAAACAGCAGATATTACATAGTGTTTATTTTATTTGAAATGACATCAAAGGCGAAGAAATATTTTAATGCAAGAACAACACTTTGTCGAATAGTTGGTGTTCAGAAAATAATATAGATATTAAATCTCTATTATTTCCCACGAGAAACTTATATATATTTAATATTGGTCCGATTTTTATATTTTAATGTCAAAGTGAAGTTTTCCGTTCCTGAAAATTAAGAACTTAGCTCATAATTTGAGTGGGTATTCAGAAATGTCCTCGAGGTGTTGAAGACTTCAATTCCTTATTATGAGGTAGCAGGAGTGTAATGACTCAATTTTGAATTAACAGAAGACACGCTGTCAATCAATAAGTAGCGTGAATGTCCGCTGGTATTGGAGAAAAAGCTATCCCCCATCCTTACCACCAATCATGAGCATGAAATGCTCAAAACTCTGTCGTTTTACACCCATCCGCCTAATCTATGGTTCAATGAATATTCAAAATCTACATCGGATCAGAAAAAATCTAACAATTAATGGCTTGCCTAGAAGAATGCAAAGGCATTTTCCGAAACAATCATGCCTATATCTCAGGATGTTGATGAGTCACCCTTTTTTCATGGTGGTTAGGAACCTCTGAAAGTAAAAGGCGCGCAAGTTTCACTCACATGAGCAGAGTTTCAAATATTTATTTCGCAAATCTCTCTAAAGTCCGTCTGAATTATTTTCCAAACTCAAAAAGTGCTTTAAACGTCTTACATTCTCTAAAATACATGATGACTGGATGATCAAAGCTAGCCATGTGGGTATGTGATTTCATCCTTGGAAATTTTGCAAATTTGAAGGATCATTTCAAAAAAAACTATGCTTTTGTCTAATCTTGGAGAAATTCGCAAATTCGACGCCTCTTGTCAATTTCTCAAAATAGGTGGAGAAAGTGACTAAATCAAGTTAGAAGTTCTTGGTAATGAAAAAAGAAATGAATCCGAACACCCACTGTGGCTAGTAATAAAAGTCAGAAAAAAATTCGAAGAAGGCAATAACTTAAGATAAATTCAAAACAGTTCAAATGTTTCCCTCATCTGAAAACTGGCTCTGTAAAATACTGTACATTCTTCCATTTTTTATCCTTACAAGTTTCATATTTTTAGCATTTGTGCAGCAGAGAGAGAGGCAGTGAATAAAGTAAGTGAAAGGAGAACTAAATCTGAATGGGAAATTTGGCATATGGAAGATTAAAGAGCCCCTTAATTCTTGAGTGTTTACTATTCGTAAAATAAAACGAAAACGTGACAGCCGAAGTGAATTAAAATGCAACGAATAATGACATTGGTTATTACCCCAGTTTGACGGGCAAAAATTAGATTTGAACAGAAAAAACATTAATTCTTTCAATTGTCGATTAATGAAAAACTATTCATTGAAATTCTGTGATTTGAAGGTTAGATGAGGTGTTACGTCTTCTATAAATATATAAGATCTTTGAGAATCCCATCACCTTTACATTTAAACCAATTTTTCTCTTTAAATATAACCAAAAATTCAACTCCTATTTCGTTTGGCTTGTAAATATACCATTTGAATAAAGCATAAGATGAAATATTCAAAATAAACGAACAAAACCTAAAATTGGCATCAGTTATTTATTCAAAATGAAAATTTTTCATTCAAAAAATAAAAAATTCTATCTTCTCTTAGTGATCATTCATTTGTTATTTGTTCTTCATTTGCTCAAGGGACTAATTTGGCTGGTCTATGGTGGTTGGCTTAATATTACCGGAAAAGAATTTAATGATGAAAATTGAGAACAACTCGCATGATACCAATTCACTTCTATTATTTATTTTACCATTATGGTTACAAAGAAGTAGATTTACTAATTATTTGAACAACTAGTGAATGAAGAATTCTTATGGAAACTTATTCAAATAGAAAGTGAAGACATAGGGCAGCTTAATATATTTGATTGATTTTTTAAATCATATAAATGTTAATTAATCAAAAGTATAATCTATTTATTGAGATATAGTAGCCAGAAGTTTGTTGACTCCCCCCCCCCCTACAGCCATGCCCAAAATAAAAGCGGGGGGGGGGTGGGTGGGGGTGGGTGGGGGTGGGTGAGGGGTGAGTGAAGGTCCAGAAGTGCTAAACGTATTAGCATAAAATTAATTTAAACGCTCTCCGATGCCAAGATCATCAGGATTTTGCTTGAACAGTTTAAAAGAAAGGAAAGCAAGTTGAGTTGGGAAAATAGTGAAAGAGCGCGATAAGGGTTGAAACTGGGGATAATGAAATAGGAAAATAATGTGCTGAAATGTATTTAAATTTTAGATGCCTAGAGTTTTACGTTTTCCCATGGCATGAATAATTCACTTTGTAATATTGAATTGAGCAACTAAAGGCAACCATACAAGATAAACTCAATATTTTTTGTTTCGTTAAGGGAGCAGAGTCCATTGATTATTGATAGCTAAGTTGATTTTTATTTGTTATTCTCAATCAACAAATATGTCAACTTCTGGTATAGCCTTTCTCCCCGTGTCTAGAAATTTATCTTTGCATATGTATATTTCTGTCTTTTAGAGACCCGCTTCTATCATACAGTTACTTCTTTCATCCCCCCACGTTCGGCCTCTCCGTGGACATGGTGAGCGCGTTTTACCCAAGGTCGGGCTGCATAATTACAAGCTTTAAGTTTGTTTTGTTGGGAAAAATGCACAACTTTCGGGGGGGGGGGGCTAGCTGTGCTCCTACAATATACAAAATTAAGCAAAATATTTCATATTCCAATTTAAGAGATAATGAGATTATTCATGATTTTGAACATCTGCTCTTTGTGGCTCTGCGTAATTTTGTTTTAGAATACATATTCTTCCAACCGGTATTGTTGACTTAATATGATAAAATTTATTAGATTTAGCAATGATCGAGTACAAGGCTTCGCTCACAATAAGGTCTATTCTGTCATATGTCACTTTAGCATAGTGATGGCAGATTTTCAAATATATTAATTTTTGTTCAATGACCTTTAAAGCGTATGAATGTCTGACAAAAGAATAATTATTGCGACTTATTTGCATTCGTTCTGGGGAGTTTTTTTTCGATGGGCACGTAGGCATGATACAAGTACGTGCATTTTTAACTCATATATGTATACATCAACACAGTGGTGCAAATGCATAAATAGAGCGACCACCCAAATCGTTACATATACGGTATTAGAGCTTATTTCCAACAGAATTCTAGAGCATCGTCAGTTTAGCTACCACATATGTTAGAATATGTCCCCTGAGACACGTCAATATTCTTCTAAATCTCCCTGCAAGTGGGTAATTAATCCTGAAAGTCAACTACTAACTTTCCAAGGACTAGATTCTACAGCTTATTAAATTGTAACACCTCTGAAAACGAAATGGACCAAAAATCCACTTAATCGTCAATTCTGACCAATCGGGTTAAGTGCATCATACTACTTATTTATTGATTAGCTTCCAATGTAATTGAACAAAGCGAAAAGTTTAAACCGATTCACAACTTACGATAAAGTCCAATTTTAATTTGCCTCAAAATACTGTAAATTATTTAAAATTTTATTTCAACTTACTAAATACTCATTCCTTGATGCCTTGTTTTTTGCATTGTACATCATTAAGACATCAAATAATAAAGGCACATTCTAGACATCTAAGGCAATCCAAACCTTAAAATCAGGTGGCAATGCACACTTTTCAATTTATCCTAATTTAAGTTTGCCATGGATGAACTCCAACGAGTTCTAATGAATTTGGCAGTTTCATCTACCCACTCAAAATTAAATCGAGATGAAATTACTCATTTTTAAATTAAATAAACTGTTTATAGCGCTCTGAATATTTTGGTTACCAACTCGCTCAGAAATCCCTGGACGTTAGAAATTAACCCCCCTCCCCACACACCCCACGCCCACCCCCTTCCCCTACCCCAACGATAATAATGCAGTCAGGGCTTTGAGACTTCAAGCGCGCCAAGACTTCCAATACATCTGATTCATTACATACCCCAGTTCTACCTTTTTATCATTCTCCAAAATATTTGCCCACTTCGCAACAATTCTTTTCATTTAAACAAGCATTTTAACCAAAGCATCAATGTGTACTGGCTTCTTCAAAGTGGCTTGAGTTGAGTAATGAAATTTCAGAAGAACTATATATATATATATATTTATATTTAAATAAATTTACCTAGTTGCATCTTGGCGGGTGTTTCAGCTGGCAACCAGAAGAGGACGAGTGTCAGTGAGGAGAGAAGGAAACAGGGCAGAATGATGACGTAGTTGTAGAAGGCAGGTTGACGCTTAATTTTCAATGAAAAGGTGATATCTGGGTAGATCTCTGCGCAACATTCGTATTTGATACCATGAAATTCAGCCCTTGTGGTTATCAATTTCCACTCTGGACTTGCCTCGTAATCCTCGATAAACCACTGATCTGAGTTGTTATAGAAGGTAATGTTGGTTCTTGCACTACAAGTTATACATATGGAAACAAATATACATTTAATACTCCAGAATGGGTTAGAGATTTAACCCACTTTAAACTTGGCAAACACACCCATGTTGTGTTAGATATTTACTTATTAATAATCTCATGCCCGATTAAGGAAACAATTACCTGACAATGGTAGGAAGGATGTTTTCTGAAGCTACTCTTTCTAGAAACGAACGTTATATCGACCCTTTATTAACCGGATACAATAGGAGCATTTGGTAAACTACACCACTGAGTAGGCACAGGTAGCATTATTCCAATGACCACTCATTTTTCATACGTGCACATCGACCACTTTTGAGTCATTTTGAATTTCCCTCAAAAGAAGACAAAATACATATCTGATTGGTTTTTATAACTATACAGGGTGGTGTCTGTTTATATGAAAGCTCCCTTTTCTGATTTAGGAATTTTTCGAAAATTTTAACAGTCATTAAAGTGAATTTTCCTTGTTTACTAACTCTGGTAATAGTTTATATTCCGCATTCTATAGCTAATTTACGTTTACAGGAGAAGTATTTTATGATATTACTGCCTTTGTACGCATGGAAATTTACCATTAAGTTAACCTTCATGACCCCTTCTCTTAATTAATTTCAGTTAGTTTTAATTACATTTTAGTGATTACTGAAGCTTCAAAATTAAGCTGTAAATATTCATTTAGGTCATATCTTTTGGAATACCTCATTTTCAACAGAATCTCCTGCGTTTATTCTCCAATTAATCTAAATATTCTAGATATTGAAAAAAAAACAAATAAGTTTTAAGGCAAGTTAACAGTGTCTACTCAATTTTTCCTATTGAATAGAATAGCACATTTGCAAAGAAACCTTTGCATAATGCCAAACTTAATACTGGTTAATTTTAGACGATAATAATTTTGTTTTCCATTCATTCGATGTGCGTTGATGAAGGCCAAAGTTGTATATCTTACTTTGAAAGGCAGGTGTTTTCTAAGAGAACAAGCTTCTATTCACTCATCGTAGCTTGATGAATTCTTCTTTTGACATTAAAATTCTACTTAACATGACAATCTCTCTTATTTCCTTTTCTATAAGTTAATAAAATTAAAAAACTATAAAGTCGCGTTACTAGAGGCTTAAGACTCCCAACTAGGAACCTTGTCTTTTAGACACCTTAGTTTGGATCTGAAAATAAGGTTCTCGTCTTTCATCCATAATAACACCTCTCTTGGTCCAAACATAACGTTACTTTCTATTCAAGCGATTTTAAAGTATGAAAGTACACTATCCAATCCCGTGACCTTGAATCTCGTGCGTGGTTAATAAATCGTTACAGTAATAATAAAATAATTGGAAAGATTTAAGGAGCCTGCCACTTTGGTTACCTTTGTCAATTCTTTTAGATGGGTTAGTGTTTATATGATGTTTCAACACCCGCTTTGAGGTCGAACCAGTTTCTCCACCTCCCCATAACCCGAAATTCGACAGAGATTTCTTGAAAAATTCAATGCGACCAAAAATATCAATGCCTTTTAGAATCCACTTCACTGAGCACTTCGAAAATTTTACTCATCTGCCCATAAAATTGCCATAAACGCGCATTACGAACATCGCTGTATCTCGGCATTTCTTGGATTGGAAGTAAACCTCGACTCTCCTTTAGTACCTCCTTTAGTAACTTGAAACGTACTCAAAAAGTCAATGGTACTTGAAATTGAAATTATTCGAATGGTCAAAAGAAAGCACTAAATCGATATCGAGCAGGGGATTTTCGAGTTTTACAATAGCCAAAGATAGTCGCAAATTATTATGAAGAATCTGGGCAAGGAAGGAACGCCTAGTCTTCATCTCCTCTTAGATCTCTGGTAACAATTGCGAAAATGCCTATTGGTTTGAAGAAGTGACATCACCCCGTGATAAACTTCCTTGGCTGTATGCAATCAATGCGACCAATTAATTTTGCTGCATGAAATCGAATTAGCGCTTCTCACATCAACGACTTCTCCGATCCCCGACTCTATTGCCGCCGCTGCTGCTGCTGCTACTTCTCACCAATTTATTAAGAAAAGTCATTTTACGAATATATGAAAAAATTCATGGGAAATTGGTTATAATTTGGCATCTTTCAATATCGCGTTTCATTTGGGGCAGTTTTGGAGGCAAATATTGAAAGGAATTTTGACTTCTATTTTTTTCAATATATTGCAATCTTCTAAATTCCTTAAATTGTGAAACATATAGTAATTTTAGTATAAGCACACCAGATATGGTTAACGGATCGTATTGCCAATTTTTCTTCTGGCATCTCCTGTGACAGGAAAAGAAAACAAATTCAACTTACGCATCATACGTCCAGGGACCGAATTTGAAGTTGCATTCCTGTACATCAAACGGGAAGTACCTAATATTCACATAGCAGGCACTCTTGTAGATTGCGAGTGGCGTCCACTCCACTGTTCCAGTGTAGGAAACAAGTAGATCGGACTTCCGTCGCTCTTCCAATCTCTCATCAGCACTGAAATTTCGAATATTTATTACTTCAAAGATACCTTTCGATCTCTTTCAGCAAGTTTATAAATTAACGCGTTATTCTAAGTTTTCAACGCCAGATGTTACTCTTTTTAGTATAGCAAGGCTTTAATGGGCTAATTTGCGGCATAAGCGCTGAAAAAAGTTTTTAATTTTCCAAGATCTAATTGCATATTTATAGGAATTAGCAGTTAAATTCAATTCACCGCTAGATAGATGATACTTTTTCAACTAATTCTCGAAGAGTCAAGATCTGATTGCGTCGGGGTGTTGATATGGTCTATAGGCGAGTGGAGACTTTCAAATCAGAAAACAAACTTTGTATAAGCGAACTCACACTTGTTCCAATTTTAACGTGTCATTCATTCAAATTTGTCAACCGGTAACTTTGTTAAGATTGTCTTCGACTGACTTTTTACCCTTTTCTGATATTTCAGTGCGTAAACCTAGCATTGTCAGTTTCGGGTAAGTTGAATGGAATAAAAAAAATACGCATAACATTGATATTTTACAAGCAAATTTAGCCCTAAGAAGTTAATTAATTGTCAAATTACTTTTGTTTCAATCATTAGATTTCATCTGACAAAAGAAGACTGAGATTTCAACTATCTGTTTACGATCTTATGAAGTTCCCATGTAATGATTAATATGAAATGGATGATTGGATGAAATGCGAAGATTGACACAACACAAATACTTTTGAGTTTTTGCTTATATTTGCTTCTTTGAGTTACTTTCTTGCTTTATCTGTTCAACTCTTGCCAGCCAATGGTCCCATTAGACATGTTCATGTTTCCGTGAATGAAGTAAAACGTCTCTAGTTATATGTGGAGGTCTTGTCCCCGACTCTCTGCTACGTTACTACGTCGCCGAGGATATTTAATGGCTTTTATTTTCCACCTCAATACACCATTAACTCTTTATGAAATTAATTACATCAATTATTTTTTCCGCCCCAATCAATTTATAGTGATTGAGATTTCTTTCTCACTTGGCACCTGTATTAACCGGATTTATGTGCGGACAAATGCCCAACATCTAAGAGTGCTGACCCCACACATCCTATTTAGAGATCGATTTCTAATTTTATTTACTTAGCGAGTTTACAATTTATCCCTCTCTTTCTCCACAGAGGTCCTCCAAATTCTCAATCTCTTCGGAGACTAAAGTGTGCAAGACTTGAATTGCCTACCATTTTACAATAAAGATATTATTATACCAGAGTGGAAGAGTGAGAGAGACAGAGAGTCAGAGCAGAAATAATTCTCTCTTTCATTTTATAGAATACGAAATATTTTCGCCAGATTCCATTTTCTTCCTTAATCCCTCCTCCTAACAACAAAATTAATGTAATCCCCACTTTGATGAGAAAGCGAGTCTTCACAGTGTTTTTTTATATTTTTCAGTTTTTTCGAAAAGAAAATTTTGTCTAAGGCAACGAAACGCTTTGTGCCATATTTATTTCACTATTCCTACAAGAAATAATTGTCCCATGTTTGACATTTTGGCAAACATTTTCAATGCTTTCTTCCCGTGAATCTTACTTTCAGGTAACCAGGGAATGAAAACTATCCAACTCTGTCCAGTTTATCCTAATGGCTTCTTATAATCTGCCAAAAGACAGATTTAATTGTGGCATTTTGTTGCGCTATTAATTACAATGGGAAGTTCGAATAATCTGAGCCACTCATATAACAAACCAAAGTAGTAGTGATTGAAATGATAAGCCATCACCAACTACAAATTTTAATTTAAAAGTGGGGAAACTAAAAATTATTATATTGGTGCGAATGCAACACAACACAAAAAAGAAAATAAAACTAAAGCGCACAATTTTTCAATCCTAGCAGAGTCTAAGAAGAAATAGCATGACAAATAGCCATTTCTACTGCAGTCGTGCGATTTTTGCTCCACTTAAACAGACTCAAAATATGAGTGAATATCAACAAATGCTTGTGCGTTTTTTTATTTGATTTTAAAAGTAAATAGGGTTCAGGTCCCACAGAAAATAAAGCTTTACACCACCCCACCCCCTTAGTTCTGTCTCCATCAGAAATAATTGGTTTAAAATATGTGTCTGAGTAAACGACCGAAATAATTTATTCATTACGGTCATTAACTTGCTAAGGACGAGCAATTTTGCAAATAAATAGAGTTTATTTAGATGATGTGGCGATTAAAATAGTGGATAATATTTATTTAATTCCATTAGATCTGATTTGAAAAGGATTTAAAAGGTCACTTCTATCAAGTTGTGAAGTCTGCCAATAAACAAATAAATCGGTTTCTCGAATGACAATCTAATTTCTGACTAAATCCTACCTGTTTATTTAATATATTCACCCATAATTGCAAGAAAAGGGGAATGCAAAGCTTTTGTCAACTTACCAATCTATTTATAAATTGTTTATTGCACAATTTATTTATGATCAGGAAAAATCCGACTTAACTCGATTTATTTCCTTAATTGCATTAGTTAAATCAATGCCCAGCATATAAATAGGAGCAAAGATTCAAGTTTTACTGTTTGAAAAAACATTTTCTAGCACTCATCTTAAGCTGACAACTTCCATTGTGGCAACACCACAGTTGGAAATCTCGTCATTATATTTTTGCGCCAATGGTTTGAGATGTTGATTTCTACGGTGTTTACTGTCACCATTATGTCATGCCACTGAATTTTACAGGTTAACAAGTGAAATAAAGCTAACATTGACAGTGAATTTGTGACTATTATAATTATCGAATGGTCTTGAATTATGATTAATAATTATCATCGCTTAATATTCAATTTTAATTTAAGAATAATTGGATTGGTAAAGGACAATCAGGCAATAAAATTTTTAAATAGGAATTAATAAGTTCAGTCTAGAAAAAACGCTAATAGCTTAATGAATTTTTTACAAATTAAAACTATTAAATTGTTTATTTTCAAACATATTCACTTGTAATCATATCGTTTTAAAACCAGCTTTAGGCAAAAAAATGAGCAAAATCTTGACACAAAACAGTGATTCTGATTAAAACTTCCATCCTTCATATTATTATATTGCACCAATTCTGTGTGTCCTTTAATCAATTTATGCATCAAATTTATTGAGCAAAAATGTGAGTTTGAAGAACTTACTAATTGTATAGGGCTATGTCCGGGAGCCAAAGCTTTGAGCTCGGAATATTGACAGAAGTAATGTTATCGTACTCCGCAGGATCCCAGACCATATGATAATCTTTCCATTTCTATAATATTTAAAAACGATATTTAATAAAAAATATGAATTGTATTATGAACTCTACATGAACATAATTTTGTTTAATACATACAAATATTTTACAATGTAATTTTCGCGACTGCTTTCAAGAATTATATTTTTTCTTTATTTGAATTTGCTCAATGTCATAAATTAATTAACAAGTACCTTCACAAAAATAGCTTTCATAGTTATTCAAATTTATGCCTCGTGGTGTTTTTTTCTATTTAATTTTTTCTGTAAATATGCAAAAAATAAGAGAGCGATTTGGATAGAGTTTCATCTTATATTCTTCCCCTAAACTGCTCTCCATTACATTAAAATATTTGCAGGGGTGCAAATTTAAAAGACTTTCGAACCTAAAGGAGGAGGAGATGGAGAAGTGACTGAAATGAACCATTAAAGCAACTTCCGAATTGCTGACGGCATCGCCCTGAGGGCGACAACCATAAATTAAATACGAAGAACAGAATAGCAGGCAAATAGGACAATGGAAACTGTTTCGATTTTGGAATCGGCCATTCCAAAATAAGTTAATTACATTGAAGAAATCTCATATCTATCCTACCTAATTTTAAATAAATAGACGCTTACTGTTTCCGAGGAATTCTTCTTTTAAACGGAATGCAATTAATTCCTAAGGTACTTTAAATTAGATTAATTTTATCAGGATTTATCAAAAAGAACCGTGATTTCTACTGCTATCTTTAATAGTTATAATTGAACAGCGCACTTGGCCATTCATATCACTGGACTTACGCAGAGTTGAATCAAGGATGTGACCTCTAACTCCGTAGAAGTTAGTGAAGCAGGATACAGCCACGGTTTAAGATAATTTCTACTAAATTCTACTATTTGATCATCTTTCCGAACTAATATATCAATTACTCTCACGCAATCAGTATTTTGCTTATTTGACTATTTCACCTTTTTGAAAATTTCCACCATCTTACATGGGTTCAGACTTATGCTAACAAAGCGAATTCAACCACATTACTTCTTGTCTTCGTCAGAGTTCTTGTAATTCCGAATCATGAAATAAAGTGTTCTTTTTTATTATTTAAAAAATATTGATCGGGCACTTACGTATAGGGTTCGAATGTTAGTTGTGAGGACCTGTTTGTTTTCATCCATATCCAAAATTCGAATAAGTGAAAGACCAAATTCAATGGAGATTTGTTGAACTGAAAGAAACTCGGAGAGTTTTGCGATAGGTGATACCCCATCCACGACAGGTCGCGCTTTTTTCTCGTAGTCGTGAAGCAGATCGCGTATGAGCTCCTTCTCCTTCCAGCTGCCGGGAACGTCTGGTAATCGATCTGGAGGCATAAAATGGTATTCGATACGAGTCAAAAGAATATAATATATGAGTTAAATATCCGCCATTTATTATTAATAATTGTATTTACTTTTGAACCATTTAATAATCATACTGGCAATATAATGAACTGCTACGCTATTCTTTATTAAAAATTATCAATATTAACATATATGGCACCCTTTAGAGTTGTTCTGCTGTTTTCTTTATTTCAAAAAATGTAAAAAATGTATTTCTAATTTGAATTAAAGACTTCATTTTTTTAAAGTGGGTTTTTTGACAAAAAAATTGTTTTAAATATTTACCAATATTTTCTGATTTTAGGTTAAAGCGTGAAGCACGTGAGAAGAGGCAAAAAATCCATTAACACTAATAAAACTTCTTATCTATGTCGACTCTATATTTATATTTATGTTGCTTAACTTGAGGTGAAGTTAAGTAACTCAAACCGCTTCAGTTGTCCAATCATACATGCTACTCAGATCTCATTATGTTTCGGGTATCATTGGTTTGAGAGAAGAAGAATTGCAAAAATAATTGAAGTGCTCAAATTAACCTGTCGCATACACTTCTGCTAATATATTGATTGAAAAAAATAACCAACCAAGTTATGGTGCTATAATTTATCCAAACCACTTAGAGCTTGCAAGGTAAGACGCAAAATGACATATTTAAACTGAAATAAAAATATTTTTTCACTCAGACATAACCCTAAGCGTACTTATTCATTGAAATAGAACTTAAAATTCTAATTTCTTCTACCAAAATCTTTACTCAAATTAAAAAAAAAATATTTGTATTAAAATTTTTAAGAATTTGTTTAAATTCTCATGGATTATTCAAACTGTTAATTAAGATCAAGAATCTGTTTCTATTTAATGAAATATATTCAAAATATTATATAGTTGAACGTATTCATTATCTTAGTGTTCAAACGAAATAGATATAATTGGAATTTTTGTTTGGGTTCCATTTATTTTAAATTAAATAAATATTTTATTCATGTAAAAATTGAATTTTAATTTATGGGTGCAAAGTTATGATTTAATGGGAAATCAATGCATGTTTTAATTTTTTGAATTAAATGTATAGATACGTAAATGTAAAAATATTCCCAAATAATAACAGCACAAAAATATTCAGAAATATGTTCAAAGTGCATAATTGTTCAAAATACCTTAAAATCCTCCAAGTTGTGATTTCTTAAAATTCATTCCATGCACCCACACTTGTGTACGATATCTTTGAACATGGAACTGAAGTCGTCAATTATTGAACTAAGGAATGCAGGATTTAAAGGCCTTGGAAAAGCCAACCAACTAATTCAAAATGCGATTTGGTGAAGGATTTTGTGCAAAGGACAGATACATTCAAATTCTGTATAATTAGAATAGCATTCGAACCATATTTAAACTCGATCATCTTGATTTTGGCGGTTTAAAAGCAGAAGAGAGGTGAAAAAGGCTCCATCAGACATTAACTCGCTAAATCCGATGACAAATACTCACACAAATTTAATACCATTGTTTTCAACTGCACTATTAGGGTGTGGGTGTGCAATTAATTTGCACATTGCCTTATTAAAGCCTTTCAGCTGCGTATTAAAAAAATTAATACGTTCTTAAAATTCCACTATCTTTTTCTAAAATGATTTTAATTTCTGTACTAAAATTTTATTTGCATTCTTCTGAAAATAATTGAATACTTCAATTGAATTCGCTCTGAAGTCTCAATAGTAAATTGTTTCTAAAGGACCAAATTAATGAAATGTTCAAATGCCAGTTTTTTTACTATTATTAAATCAATTAAAGTAAATATCTATCTATCTAATTGAAATATTCGATTAAGAGTGCCAAATAAGTTAATTGCATACAAAATGGTGTGATAAATAGATTGACCCCTTAGACTAATATTTGCGACAATTTTTTCGTGAACCAAAATTTATTTCAAAAGCTCTGTAAAGACAGAGTTGGAATGGATGTCGGTTTTAAGTATAGTAAATAATAGAAATCATGTTCATCTTGAGTGAATGGAGGTCAAGAGCATAGACAGCTTGAAGTTTGTATCTATTTCAGATCTCAAGGTTAAAAATATAAGCTTGTGAATTTTCATTTTTAGGCTTTGTATTCAAAATCATTCAAAGGGGAAATAAATGAAGCTGTAGAACTGGCTCTGCTAAATTAAGGAAAATAGTCGCTGAAATCCTTGGAACGAGATATTGAACTTGAAGTGCTCATTCAGTATATACTGTGCGACTCGGGTCATGAACCCAAATGGATTAAAATTCTTTGATATCTTGACGTCTACCTCTGTGTTTTCATGATTTCCTCCCACCACCCCTCCCCCACTAACTTCCACTACATCAATTTTTCGACATATTCTTAATCGATTTCTGGAGTTTCTCGGAGTTACCGTGTGTAAGATTATCCATATGGAAAGTATTATTATTTCAGATGGCAGGATTTATGATATTTTTCATTAGCCCCTTCATATGGAAAACAGTAAATAAGCTTTAATATTTTTTAAATTGCACCAAAATGGGAAATACTTGGATATTTTACTATGCAATCTTAAAACGTTGGATTGGATGATTTAGGTATGTGTTTTACTTTGCCACTTAGAGAATTAAAATTACTTGTATTTAACATATTTTGCAAGTAACACTTGTTTATTAATTATTCACATATCTATGATTTTACTTTTAACGCCTTAAGCTCAACTGATTCATAAAAACATGATATTTTTTGCAATTTTTTATCCACCAAAGGATTTGAAGTAAATACTTTGGAATTCGTACGCATTTAGACACATCATTCACATAAGTCCAAATAAAATTTTTCAAGCATCGTTTCAAGCGCAATATTACAATTTGGAAAAGAATACCTCAAGATGATGAACTGTAATTTCCATTTAAAAAGTGTAAAGGTTGGTGGACTTTCTGATATGATATAGCATACTCCGAACAGTGGCAACAGCAGAGTTTTTGGGTTTAAAATTGTATTCATCACTTTACATAAAACAGTACTTCATTTATTTATAAACGAATTCAAATGCGTTCATGAATATATAACCACAAAATTAAATATTAAATTTTCATTGATTGTATTTAAAGTGCTATGGGCTAGGAATTTCGAACTATTCGTTGTTAATTTTACTCTATTTCTTGCAAAAAATCAAATTTTATATTTAAAGTTTGTTGAAGGTTTTTTTCAAATGAAACGCTTTGGGATTTTTTTCCTATCTTGAATGGAACACTGGATAAGTTTCAAAAACTGTAAAACATTTAAAGGGAAAATTTTGATTTTGCTTATTACCGCAATAAAACCAATCATAATGATCAGCTAAACTAAAATAAATATCTTCATGAATTTTGACAAGATTAAAGTTTCTATCCTACTTTTAATCCTTCATATTGCTTTTTGAACAAGTGTTCAAGACTTTCGACTCAATACTAATGATTTAAATCTGGAGGAATATTTGCCGCTGAAGTATAAATGGGGAATTAATAATGTTACAATTTACGTTCAAATTCAAATAGCACAGAAAACGAACCGGAGCAGTATTATTTAAAACTGCATTGAAACCCTTAAATAATTTCATTGATTGAATTCCCTTGCATCAACACGTAAAAAGAACAATTTTCAAGAAAACACTGCAATCGCATAGTGCTAATAATCAAAAATCAACAACTACACAGCACACAATAACATAAAACGATTTTTCGCCCACATTTTATCAATTTAAATAACATGAAGTGAAGTTCAGTATTGATGTAGCAATTATTATGAGAGTTTTCAATCGCTATTATGCAGTTGAATTGAAGAGAACTTTGTGAAACTTGGTTTGCGACTCTTTATTTCAAAAATGGTAAACTCCGCTAATAAGGTTGTACATATTGTAGCCAAGGTAGGTATTTGGTCAGCACCTCATCACAGAGTAACTGGGAAATACGCACTTAAACGATTTAATTGAAATTCAAAAGACAGAAAATGAGAGAGGTTCAATATATTTAGTTTGTGATTAAATTAACCGAGTGGATATTTTTATTTTCTCCAAATGACTGGAAAAAAAATCTTCAAAGACTTAACCTTTGTTCTGTTTATGTTTGTTCTAATTAAAAAGAAAATTTATTTATTGGAGATCTTATCACAGCCAAAGATAAAATGTCAGATAAAAACATGCGTGTAACACAAAATGATAATAAATTTAAATTTAATTAGAAGTGGAATATTATCGGTTTATTCACAATGCTTGTTTATACATATATAAATCCTATTTTGTAATAGGCATATTTTTAATTATCTTCACAAATGCGTCTTATTACTCATTGGTAAACGTGGAAAGAATTGATTTAATCTGAGCTCTATAAAGTAATAACTTCCCCGAAATTCGAAATTCAGTATATTATCAATCATTGATCGGACAGATATCAACAGTTCGTTATCTGAAGAAATATCGTCACTATGTGTTATTATGTTATTATTTTAATAGCAATTTCAATAATGAACTATATATAGGAGGATGAATTGAAATACCAAAAATAAAATAAAACAGTCAATTTTTTAACTACCTAATGGCAATTGCATGATTTGCAGGGTTATTCAGTTTAGGAATTTCGGATAATTAATATGGAAGTGGGAATTTTTTTGAACCAGGGAATTCGTGTACCCTTTCTTAAAAATGTGCCTTCCATGCAACTATTTATTAATACCTTGACTTTACCCGAAAATGAAAATGATGTGACATAAAATTTCCGATTACTTATAATTAATCTCCAATGCACTGCAGTGCATTAATTTAAATTAAACATTTTGCGTACGAATTGACGTGGTGCATTGCATATATATATATTTATATATATATATATATATATTGTGGGGTGTGAAATAAACTCTCAAAAAACACTGAATATAATGGACGATAAAACCGTATAAAAAACTGAGAGCGCAATTATATTATCACAAAGTGGCTTAAGATCTTTTGAATTAGAAGACATTTCAATGACCCCGCA